CATGTTCACGGAGAGGGCGATGTTATGCCCGGAGTTTGCTTCTGAGCAGGCCCAAATGAAACGTTATCTGAGCATGCTCAAGACTGACATCCGTCAGTTTGTTGCCACCCAATGATGTGATACTCTACTGGATTTACAGGGGGCCGCTAGACGGCGTGAGTTGGAGATTGAGTTGTAGTTGAGGGAGCAGCGACAGGCCCCGACACAGTCACAGCCGGCGCCAAAGCAGTCTAAGACCGCTGATTCTAGGACAGGGAGTCAGCAGAGCCGCACTTGTGGAAAGTGCGACAAGGGTCATTATGGGGTTTGTCGAGCTGGTAGTGGGTGCCACAGGTGTGGAAAGGAGGGGCATTATGCGAAGGATTGTCGCCAGCCCGCCTCGGTTCCGAGTATGAGGTTATGTTATCACTGTGATCAGGTTGCCCACTTGAAGGCCAACTGTTCGTTGCTTGCCGCTAAGCAGAGTTGAGCCCCCGAAGGCTTAGGGACGCGCCTTCCAGCTCACGGCAGAGGAGGCTGGGGCAGCACCCGATGTGGTTGCTGGTATGTTTCTGTCCCTTATCTTATTGATTGTATATGTTTTATGCTTATCTGTTTATACCTGTGAATAGGTACGTTTTTAGTGAATTCATTGCCTGCATTGGTTTTGTTTGACTCGGGGGCAAATCGGTCTTTTGTATCTCAAATGTTTAGTAGGGAGTTCAGTGTGCCAGTAGGAGAGCTAGAGTGTCCGTTGCGAGTCTCTATCGCCAACGCACATGGGTTTTCCGCTTCTTCGGTTTACCGGGGGTGTGAGTTATAGATCTTCGGGTTGTCCTTCCCGATAGATTTGATTCTGATTCCCATGGGGGATGTGTGTGTATGTGATTGTGGGGATGGACTGGCTTAGTCGATTCGGTGCCATGATCGACTACGAGGGTCAGCGGGTAGTGGTTCGGACCCCAAGTGGGGGAGAGTTGATTGTCTATGACGAGGGTACCAAAGTGGGATCAGGGTTTTGTTCAGCCACCATGGCTAGACAGTATATTCATCACGGGTGTGCGGGTTATCTCGCGTATGTGGTGGATACGCGAGCCGGGGATCAGATTTCAGTCTCAGAGGTCCCAGTGGTCGGGGAGTTTGCTGGCTTGTTCTCGGAGGAGTTACCAGGGATACCTCCAGAGAGACAGGTCGAGTTTCAGATCGACCTGGTGCCAGGTGCGGCCTCTATCGCCAAGGCGTTGTACCGATTGGCGCCACCAGAGATGCAAGAGCTGTCATCACAGCTGCAGGAACTGCTGGGCAAGCAGTTCATTCATCCGAGCAGTTCTCCCTGTGGAGCGCCGATACTCTTTGTCAGGAAGAAGGACGGTTTGCACCGGATTTGCATTGATTACAGAGAGTAAAACAAGTTGACAGTGAAGAACCGTTATCCACTCCCGAGGATAGATGATCTCTTTGATCGGTTATGTAACGACCCAATTTTCAAGTCCAAAAATTTCATTTTTTTATTTATTGATTTATAAAAACATTTATAAAAAAACACCAGCTAATAATAACTTTTCATAAATCCACAACTCATGTCTGAAAACCATTCACAAAATAAAACAATGTCAGAGTACAATCCCAAGAAACTCTAATGCGGAAAACCAACATGTGTGTGTATGATGTGTCGCTACCGCGCCAACTCCTTCCCCTTCGCTGAAGAGGTACCTGAAACCAAAACTGTAAACTGTAAGCACGAAGCTTAGTGAGTTCCCCCATCGTACCACATACCATACAATCACATAGCATACATACTGCCGGACAATTCTGGGGTGCCCGACCTACCCGACACGGCCATTCTGGGGTGCCGACCTACCCGTACGGCCATTCTGGGGTGCCGACCTACCCGTGTCAAGCCATTCTGGGGTGCCGACCTACCCATGTCAAGCCATTCTGGGGTGTTGACCTACCCTTCGGTCCTAACAACCGAACTTGGGGACTATTCCCCTCCTACTACCGCTATCACATTTAACATATCATGTCAGCATATAAACATATAATCACATACTGTCAGACATATCTGGGGTGCCTGACCTACCCTTCGGTCCTAACAACTGAACTCTACCACCATCACATATAACATATCATGCCAACATATAACATATCAGGTAGTAGCAAACCTATATGATATCACAAAGACATTCATCTAACGTACAACTCCTGCTGGTGGGCCGGCATTGTGGCCGTAGACCCACCGCTACTGGAAGGTAACTCACCTCGATCAAGTAGCTGCTGTCAAACTGTGTGGGAAGTCTCTGCCTGCTGCCGCTCCGGAAATCCTCCGGCTACAATCCCCACAAAACACTCAGTCAGAACTGATATCTACTCTTAGGGTAAAATGACTATTTTACCCTCAACCAAGTCCAAGTCAAAGTCAAAGCCAAAGTCAACTTCCAGTTGACCTGACTCGCCGAGTTGGGCCGCCAACTCGTCGAGTCCCTATCCTTTTAACTGTCCTCATCCACGTCCCTACTCGTTGAGTTTAGAAATGACTCGACGAGTTATCCTTCTCAACGAACATCGGATGAACCTTCATCCGACTCGCTGAGTTGTATGAACAACTCATCGAGTCTATCCTTATCCAATGAACCAGTCCTGTCCTCGACTCGCCGAGTTGTATGAACAACTCGTCGAGTTCATCTTCAAGAGTTGGGAGATTGCCTTGGACTCGCCGAGTTGGCTCATGCACTCGCCGAGTCCTATGAACTCCAGGACTATGGATTAGCCCAATACGTTGGGTCACTCCCTTGGACCCTCTAAAACCTTTCCAACACTCCACTGGGTCTCTTCGACCCATAACAGAAAAGGGAAGTCTAACTTCGGACTCGCCGAGTCCCAAGAACGACTCGCCGAGTCGATACTGTCCAAGTCTATTTCTTTGATTTTTGGTGTACAGCCTTTGATCAAAAGATAGATCTAGGCTTCTACAATCGATCTAGCACGTAAAGTTACAAACTTTACGTGCATGCATGGGACTTTGAGCTCAAAATGTCCTAAAACAAGTCCTTGGTTTGCATGGGGTCTTCTTTGGGTGGAAAAGCACCCACTTTCTGCCTTGTGACCCCTCAAAGGACCTAGATCCGAAGCCTTGTCCCCAACCATGCTTGCATTCATGGTTGGTTACCTAAAATGGCTCATAAAGGCCCTAAATCTCCACAAAATGGGATCTAGCAATTGAACAAGCAAGTTAGCAACTTTATACCTTCTGAGGACTGAAGATGAAGCACAAACTTGGACTCCTCTGGTCTTCTCTTGTTTCCTCAAGCTCTTCTCCTTCCTTCTTAAGATTACCAACACCAAAATCCACCAAAATGACTTAGATTGCTTCAACAACGGCTAGGGTTCCCTATAGAGGGTTTCTGGGAGCATAAGGGACGATGAATGCTGTATAAGGTTGCTTAAATAGGGTGCAAACCCTCAGATTAGGGTTTTTGTCCAGACAGTGTCTACTCGTCGAGTCCGGGACCCGACTCGTCGAGTCCATAACTTAAGTCCCGCGTCCCATCCCGCTTCTACTCGGCGAGTTGGTCCTTCAACTCGCCGAGTCCAAGGCCAAAATGTAAAATATTTAAATAATTAATAGAAAGAATACGTACCAAGAACCAGGTGCTACAGGTTACAGGGTGCATCTTGGTTTTTCCAAGATAGACTTGAGGTCTGGGTATCATCAGGTCAGGGTCAGAGAGGAGGACATGGAGAAGACCGCGTTTCAGACTCGTTATGGACATTACGAGTTTGTGGTGATGCCGTTTGGGCTCACCAACGTGCCAACAATATTTATGGACCTGATGAATCGAGTCTGCAGACCGATGCTTGATCGCTCGGTCATCGTGTTTATAGATGATATCATGGTATATTCCAAGACCCGAGAGCAGCACAAGGAACACCTACGGGAGTTATTAGGAGTTTTGAGGCGGGAACGACTTTATGCTAAGTTCTTGAAGTGTGAGTTTTGGTTACGAGGGGCCCAGTTCCTCGGACATCTCGTTAACCAGGAGGGGATTTTGGTCGACCCGACCAAAATCGAGGCAGTCATGCAGTGGGAGGTTCCGAAATCTCTCTCAGACATCAGGAGTTTTCTGGGATTGGCAGGGTACTACCAGAGATTCATACAGGATTTCTCCAAAATTTCAGTACCCCTCACTCGTCTGACGAGGAAGGGGGGTGGATTTCCGGTGGGCCCTGAGCAGCAGAGGGCGAGATTTATACTAGCTTGCTTACGAGGTTTATACTTGCTTGCTTACGAGGTGAGTCTTCTCACTATACATACCTAGAGTGGTAATCTAAGTTGTGTGACCAGAGGGTCTTATGTGCTTATATTGAGTATTGTGCTATCCTGCATTATGTATTTGTGATTTATGATGTGTATTATTCTGAGCTTACTGAGTTAGGGCCGGAGAGTCCATCTGAGATAGGACCGGAGGGTCCACCCAAGTTGTGGGACCAGAGGGTCCCACTGAGACACATTTGACCAGAGGGTCTTACCGAGTATAGCCTCGAATGGTTAATAAGCTGTGTGTGGCATTTTGGGGAACTCACTAAGCTTCGTGCTTACCGTATATGTGTTATGTGTTTCAGGTACTTCTCAGGATCACGGGAAAGCACCGACTTGATTGTACACACACCCGCATCAGAGATATGTTTTTGGAGGATACTGGATTTGTGATAAACAATTTTTGAAATATGTGTTGATAATTGATATTTGAGATTTTTGAGACAACGTGACATGTGTTTTAGTCTGTTTGAAAATGAAAATTTTATTTGAAAATTTACGGTGTTACACTCCTATTTTGATATTGTTGTGATTAACCCATTTTTAAGTAAAGTTCTTAAAATTTCCCTTAATTGAATTATTTTAGGTGCTATTGGCCTATGTTTGTAATTTTACTCAAAAATTTATTAGATTCGATAGCGTACTCAACACAAAAATGGCGGGAACATAAACAGAGAGTTTGGACTTTGGAGGAACATTCATCTAGGGTTTGCGAAAGGCCACTCAGTCAAAGGGCATTCGCATTTCGTCATCTGTTTTCTTTATCGCACATAGAAGCAGGTAGAGATGCCAACCTACAAGATCAGGGGAATCAATGTCGAATTCCCCTTTGAGGCGTACGATTGCCAGCTCGTTTACATGGAAAAAGTCATCCAATCTCTTCAAGACGTATGATTTCTCTCCTAAATCTACTTCATCACGTCTCAAATCGAATACATATCTTGATTTCCATGGATTTCAATTATAAGGTGTTGCATAGCTATTCACAGTCATTGGAGTTTTACCTTGCTAACATCACAAAAATCAAATTGAGTATTGATGACGAACACCACTGTTTGATAACTAATTTTCGAAGCTCAAACCAATTTACGTCAATACGATATTCATCTTTGTGCTAACCTTGATATGTTGTCGACACATTTCATCATGTGGCAGAGGTCTAACGCCCTATTAGAGAGTCCTACTGGAACTGGCAAAACATTATGTCTTCTGTGTGCCACTTTAGCTTGGAGAAAGAGTTTGGGTAGTTTCTCAACAGGTAGGAATGCGATAAGAAGTCAGGACACAGGAGGCAAAAACTCAGAAGGACCATCGTCACAGTCAGAATCATCACGGCTTCCCACAATCATATACACTTCACGCACTCACAGCCAGATTCGACAAGTGGTTCAAGAGCTCAAAAGAACCATCTACAGGTCAGGGTTGATATTTGATATTAACGATTTCAGACCATATTAGAAGTCGATTACACTGGTTTGACTATATAAACATATCAATTACTTATGCAGACCCAAAATGGTTGTATTAGGATCTCGTGAGCAATTATGCATTCACCCTGATGTAAGTTTACTTCATGGGAAAACACAGACAAATGCCTGTCATTTCCTATGTCAAAAACGCACAAAACGGTATTGTACCCATTTTCCTCGTGTCTCAGGTAAGTTATTCTTTTTTTTTTTTTTTTTTTTTCACTTTTCATCCATTGATTTGGGGAGATACTGATATACATCTGTTGTTTTTGTTTCATAGAATTTGTGAAGAATAATCCTGGTCTTGGTGATGAACCTATTGACATAGAGGACTTGGTCAATATTGGGAAACAGAGTGGCCCGTTAGTTTTTTTATCCTTTTGTAACTTATGACAAATGTTAATCATTTTTCTGCAATATATGTCTAACATTTCACTGTGAATGCACAATGCAGATGCCCTTATTATATGTCACGTGAGCTCCATAAAGTTGTTGATATCTTATTTGCACCTTACAACTATCTTATCGATCCTGGCAATAGAAAATCTTTGAGCATTGAATGGGCAAACAGTATACTTATATTTGATGAAGCTCACAATCTTGTAAGTGTCAAATATATATAATACATATGATGATATGATAAATGATCTCTTTTAATTTTTTTTTTTTGCATTATGAAATATACAGGAGGGAATATGTGCAGATGCTGCCTCTTTTGACCTACCTTCTTCCCTCTTAACTTCATGTATTTCTGAAGCACAAAACTGTGTAGACCTTGCTGTTTCCAGGAGAGATCAATCAAATGACACATCATATAATCCAGATAACTTTGCTATTCTCAAAGGTATATTTATTGTTCTTTCTCATAAACTCCATGAGCATTTAAACTTTATTATAAGAAAGTTTACTTTCTTTTTCACTTTGCAGCACTTCTGTTAAAGCTTGAGAAGCGAATTTCTGAAGTTCAAATTGACTCCAAAGAATTGGGCTTTACCAAACCTGGTCCTTACATCTATGAGCTTTTTGGTGAGCTAAATATCACACACAAAACAGCCACCAAGCTCATTGACACAATTGAAGATGCAACTGTATTACTTGAAGAAGGTACACACTACACACTACACACTACACACCCAGTATCATGTCTTTATTATATAAGTATTCTTTTAAGGTTTGGTTTTTATTCATTTTTACAGATGCAAAAACCAGTGATCCTCAAAAGACAAAGGGAACTGTGAATAGGTTGGAGAGTATATCAGACATTCTTAAAATAATCTTCAAAAGTGATGGAAACGACGCCCATGCTAAATATTATCGTGTAAGTTTGGAGCTTTTATTTTTCTACCCTTGAAGCTGGTAGTAAACTCTTGTAACTTAGAATCTTTTATTTATTGTTGAATTCAGGTTCATGTTCAGGAAGTTGAAGTGAAATCAAGTGATACATTTAAAGGTAAAATATGTATTAATATGTTTAAGTTTATGTTTAGTTTTCTTATATTACACTTATGACACTATTTATGACACCATATGTAGGCAAAGCATCTAGAATCTTCAGCTGGTGGTGTTTTAATCCTGGCGTTGCTATGGAAGAATTTGCAAAAAGAGATGTTGGATCTATTATTTTGACATCTGGCACTTTATCACCTATGGATTCATTTGCTGAGGAACTGAAGCTGTATGAACTTATCATACTATATAATCCATATCATTTTTTTTTTTCAATATTCTCTTAAATAACTAGTTACTTTTTATTTGTTTAAATATAGTAATTTTCCTATACGTTTGGAGAACCCTCATGTTATACAAGACAATCAATTATGGGCTGGAATTGTTCCAGTGGGGCCCTCTGGTCATCCGTTTAATTCTTCTTATAGGACACGCGATTCTCCTGAATATAAACTAAATTTGGGTAATTCGATTGGTAAGTATATATGACAAATTTTATAAAAATGTCATGTCAAATCACTTGTTAATACTAAATTTTTTGTTTTGTAGTGAATTTTGCTCGAATAGTACCAGATGGGCTTCTTGTCTTTTTTCCATCTTACTACCTTTTGAATCTGTGCATTGATTTCTGGAAGAACACGGTAATAATAATAATACTAATAATCATAAATTATAATTTCTTGTACTTTTTAATAAAACAAACTTCATGTTTTCAGGGTGTAACTTCAACAAATTCAAGTACTATATGGGAAAGAATCTGTAAACATAAGCTACCAGTTGTGGAGCCTAGACAATCTTCACTTTTTCCCCAAGCAATTGATGTAAGAGTAAATTATTTATACACTTTCAGTTAACAAATTTATTTTCTTTAATTCATTTTTAAAATTTGAACAGGACTACATGGCTAAGTTAAGAGACAACTCAACTACTGGAGCAGTGTTTTTTGCTGTATGTCGTGGAAAGGTAATTTAGTATTTCAAATAGTTTTGACTATTTTCTTCCTATGACATTTATTTAGTTTAATTTTTTTTTTTTTTTTTAATGTAAATAGGTAAGTGAAGGACTAGATTTTGCTGATCAAGCTGGAAGAGCTGTGATTGTGACTGGAATTCCATTTGCAATGAGGAATGATCCAAAAATCCGTTTAAAACGTGAGTTTTTAGATCAACAGGCACTCTCCCAAAAAGGATCCAAGGTAATTAGTTTTGGTCAACAAAGTCAAACTCACTTAAATTTATATTATTTTTATTTTATATTATATTGAAAGTAGATTGCCTTTTTAGGTTCTCACAGGAGAAGAGTGGTACAGTCAACAAGCGTCACGGGCGGTCAACCAAGCTGTGGGACGTGTCATTCGTCATCGCCATGATCACGGGGCAATTATTTTTTGTGATGAAAGGTTTTTTTTTTTTTTTTCTTTTTAAATCCGTATAAAAATTAAATAATTAAATTATGTTAGTTTTGGTCAAATGAGTTTTGACTTTATTAATGTGTTTATATATAAACAGATTTTCAAAATCAAACCATCAGTCCCAGATTTCACTATGGATACGGCCTCACCTCAAGGTTAGCAAACTCCATCCACCATGTGAAATTACTCTTTTGCCCCTTACCTGACATGTTCTTCCTTATGCAGTGTTACTCCAAATTTGGGGATGTGGTTTTTACGTTGACCCGTTTCTTTCGTGATGCTGCAATTAGCTGTCCAGTGAAACAAAAGTCAACTCAGATTCAAGAACCAGGTTGACCAGAAAATACCTCTTCGAAATTACATATTTGGTCCCTGAGTATATCTGATCTTTTCAATTTTCGTCCTCATTTGAGGTTTTTGTAACGTTTTTTGTCTCTGTTCCAAACAAAATGACTATTTTTGGTTCTTGTGTACAACTTATTTTTGCAATTTTGGTCCCAAAGATACAGTCATTTTCTTGGAACATGAAACCAAAAACATTATAAAAACCTCAAACAAGGACCAAAATTTCAAAAATCAGTTATACTCAAGGGACCAAAAATGTAATTTACTCAAATACAATCTTAATACACTTGTTTTCGCTTTTCAGGAGAAAAAAGTAGTCGGGACAAGATCATATCTCTGGACAAACTTGATCAGGACAAATTTCTAAAATCTTTAGTATGTGTTTTTTTGATTTTTTTCACCTGCATTTTTTTTTTCTTCTTCTGTTGATTAAATATTTATTATATTTTAACGGGTGTTACAGATTGCCACATCAGATAAATCTTGGTCTATAGAACCATCATCATCATCATTGCCATGTTCGAGTGAATTAAGGCGAGTCAACATTTCGTCTCGGCTTAGTCAAATACTTCCTGCAAACCGGTCAAATCTTTCTTTCAATGCACAAAAACAGACTTCAAGTTTGAAAAATAATAATAATAATAGCAACGTGGAAATAAAAAAACATGAAGTGATTGATTTGGTAGATGAAGAAACAAGCAGTGAATTATCCGCACCTTATTTTATAAAAAAGCGTAAAATTGAAAACCCTAAAAATGAAAACTTGTTACAAAAGTGTGAGAGTGGAACCAGAGAAGTTAAAAAGGAGATAGCTGTAGAAAGGAGGACTGAATTCGTCAATTTAGAAACTGTAAGGGGTAGTTCAAGTTCAAATTCAACCTCTTTGGCTTGTGAGAACCAGGAGAAGAAGGGATCCACTTTTCTTATTCAGGTAAAATTAAAGTGGGATTTATTATCATTAACTTTTTTTTTTTTTTTTTTTTTTTGCTTAAGTTATGTAAGTTTTTATAAATTTACAGGTTAGAGAGAAGCTTAGTGATGGAGAATATAAAGAATTTGTGGGATTTATGAAAGCACTTAAATCTAAAGCAATGAAGATAGGTCATGTTCTTCAATGTATCATGGGATTATTTTCTGCACCAGATAGACTTCCTCTTCTCCAAAGGTATTACAATTAATTTTTTCTTCTTCTTATTATTTTTTTGATATTATCTATTTTTCTAATTTTTGTGTTGGTATTGACATTTGACAGATTTAAGGATTATATTCCTGCAAAATATCATACATTGTATGAAGAATATTTGGAGAAAACAAAAACAAATGATGCAGTAGCTGTAGATCTTTTATAAAAGGTAGTGTTCTTGTGTAAAATTATTTACCCTACCATTAATTATCATTAAAGTTATATGATGTGTCTTGAAAATAATCATTTAACAAGCAACTTATTTCTAAGAAATAACGGAAATTGAGGTGTTTGATGTAACTTTTGGCTGGGAAATGATTTATTAAGATGAAATTTGAAGTTGATAAGGACATACATAATGTTGTAATTATTTGAATTTGTTTCTTTCAGAATTTTGTTTGTTTATGAAATGTGATTGGGTTGGTATTTGGTGTTTGTGGTCGACTTATAGCTTACAAGTTACAAACAACCAATTCTAAGAAACTCGCATGTATCTTCTCTTTTTGTCTGCTAGTTAAAATACATAAAATATTAATGTATTTTTATACAAAACTTAAATCCGCAAGAAATTTATCAGTTTGACGATGTATAATTGTTTCTCGTGTTCATAATTAATTCGACCCTTCAAGCGATGTCTTTTAAATGATATTAACTAAATTTGAGTATTTTTTTTTTATTGTTAACAATGACAAGGTTTTTTGTGTTTTGAAAAAGTGGCCATTTTGTTTGCTATGGGTCGATTTCAAACCAATTATATATTAAAAAAATAAAAAAAATACATTTCAGACTTTTCTAGATAAAATAAATAATCAGGAATTTCAAGAACAACTCAAAAATCAATGAACAATTCTTGGATTTTGAGAAAATACTTCATTTTAAATTTAAATCTTTCAAAGTAAAAAAAAAAACACAACTAATGGAAAGTAATATGCTAAAATGACTTACGACATTTGATTGAAAAACAGTCATATTAGACCATTCAAAGTCATAATTTTGAACATAAACAAAGTTTTTTTTTGAAAGTTTTGGTGAAATGAGAAAAAAATACACATCAGTCCGAAGTGACTCATTAGGGTCGAGAACGATCAATTTAGGACAAAATGATCATTTTTGAAAACGCAAAAAATTTGATTTTTTTGTTAATTACTTTATTCATAATAATTAGTTTAGTTAATATTTATTTATAATTTGCTTTATCCACTAAGCACACTCTAATGAGACAACACATTTAAAAGGAATATAGAACAAGAATATTGATGAATGTCGACACAAGATAATAAGCTACTATTTGATAAAAAAAAAAACCAAATAAACAAATACTGAAGTGATTAAAAAATTGTGAAGGATAAGAACATACCGGTGCATATAGTGAAAGAAACAAATCATATTAACAAAAGTATCTTTGTAAAAATAATAAGGAAAAAAGATAGTAAGATGGGCCATACCCAAACAAAACCTCTGCGCTAAGAAATCCATGATCAAATATCATATAGAGATAGATCTTAATTTTATAATTTGACATAAGGACAAACAAGAAACAGGTGGTTTGAATCTTGGGTTGGCGCGTCATCAAAAGTCCTGCACTCTTTATAAACCAAGTGTTCTTCATTAATTTATAACACCCAAATTCCTTTCTCCATCCTTCACTCAATATTCTCTACCCCCACCACTACCATCACCACATATGTGCTATCCGGCCGGTGTTTCATGTGGCCATGAATCGGAGATCAGAATTAGACGGTTGGCAGCTCTCGCCACCGCCGTCAACCACCGGGAGGCAGGTGGTGGAGTGAAGAAACAGTGTCTGTGTTCACCCACGATTCACCCTGGTTCCTTCAGGTGCAGGCATCACCATTCAGAGTATGTATGGGTTCGTTCTTAATCTCCGGTAAGATGGTGGTGGTGATGAAGAATCTTAATGCACATAAATAGTTATAACCTAAAGATGTATCATATAGCCTGGTATTGAACTGTTTCATCGTTCTTTTTCATGTAATGACTCTGTTCATCTATGTATCCATTAATTAATTATACTCCAGTTATTCTACATTTAGGGTTTCGGAATGGTTACTTTTTTCAATCGTTCAAGTTCTGTTTGTGTTCATATTGTTCAAAATTGAGATTTCTGGTTATCTGCTATGACTTTACTTTGCAATTCGGTTCCCAAATTGAGTGTATTTCGTGCCCTAAAAAACATCCTTTAATGAATAGCGATCAAGCAAGAAATTTCTGCCACATAATATGAATTCCTAACTTATGAGGTTTTTTCAAGCATCAAATTATAGTTACGTACATAAATACATACCTCGACAACAGGTTTATACTTTAAAGAAGAAGAAGAAAAGAAGCCTCGCGCGAATCTCGGATACCACACTAGTTGGAATCGAACATTTCACCAAATTTTCAATCTTAAAGAACATATCCGATTGAAATTGATGTGACGAACCCTAGAATATTCTAGATGCTATCCTCTGTACTATTTGAATCGCCGGTGACACTCGGAGACTGATGGTCGATGTGAGTTATACTACTTTTGGACCGATAATAAACACTTGTTTAGAATCATGCAATGAAAGGGGACCTTCATCAAGTTCATCATAGTATTAGCTAACTGCAATTGGACGTTAGACAACATCAATCCCAACTTCTATTGTCGATTGTCTTGATTTCGGTTTGTGACACGACACTTGAGTCTATGTGTCATTAGGCTACGGGGAGTGGTGACGGATCCAAAAAATAAAAATTTGGGGTTGCACAAATTTTTAAGGGTTGCAGTATTAGAAAAAAAACTCGTTCCCGAAGAAAGTTTGTCACAAAATCGTCACTAAAGCGACGCATTTACACTAAATTCACAACTATCAGACTTTGTGATGGATTGTCAATGGATTAGTGACGAATTTACACTAAACGCGGAGGCATGCACGTACACGCAACGTACGTGGCCAGACTCAAAACCCTAATTTCTAGGGTTCAAGCCCTATATAATGTCATTAAGTTCCATGTGTTAGCCTCCTTATCAGCCTCTATTGTCCAGAAACCCTAATATCGAACCCTTTTTCATCTTGGTGTGTTCTTGACCTTGTGGAGTGCATTTTTGGTAGTTTGGTGCCTTGGAAGGAAGAAAAAGAAGTTGGTGAAGGAGAGTTGTTGGAGTTTGAGCTTGAAGATCCGGGTTATCATCATCATTTGGCATTTATTTGAGGTATAAAGCTCAAAACTTGCTTTGTTAATGCTTAGATCTCCTTTGTTTGAGTTTTTGGACCTTTTTGGTCCCATGGGTGAGATGTAGATCAGATTATTGTCATTTTTGAAGCTTAGAGTTGCTACTATTGGTGTTCTTTTGGTCCTAGAGTCATAAAGTTGCCAGCTTTGGAGCTTTGAACCACCCATGCATGAGGTTGACTTCATTTTATGGAAGTAATGTGTGATATTTCGCGATTGGGTTCATTTGGGACATGCAAAGCCACCAAGTTCACGACTTTATGGTTTAAGATACTTCATATGACTCAGATCTGTGATTGGGACCCTTAGTCTTAAGGATTTAAGAGCTTTTTGGAAATATGGCTTAATGAGTGAGTACGTTGGGCGTACAAGATCGTACGAGCAGCGTACAAGCCATGCAGCCTATACGTTTAGCGTACAGTTGAGTTTGGGCTACTTCCATGGACATTGCTGTTTTTGGCCTTAGTGGGCCATCTGAAATCGAACCTTTGGGCTAGGGGAGCATTATTGGGCCTTGGCTAAGGCCCATGTGAAGCGATTGGGCCCAATTGGAAATTGGGCCATATTTTGGGCCTTGATGGGTTGTTTAACTTATGGGCCCATTAGACTGTGGTTAAGGGCTTCATTCTTGGACCAAGTTATGTTGGGGGTAAAATAGTCTTTTTACCCAAGTAGGGATTTTTGGTTATGATGTAGATCCCAAATGTTAATTAGCTTTTATTTGGCAATTGATAGCTCGGGGAGCTGTAGGACCAACAGTCAGGGATCATTCGTTTCATTCAGCTTTTCGAGGTGAGTTTCCTCACTGGGTTTAGTGGGTCTAAGGCACCAAGGCTGACCCTTGATTGGTTATGTCGATATACTTGCTGTCTGTGTGATACTTGTATGTACTTGTATATGTATGTTTATTTGGGCGGGGCCCGTTATGCGAGTGTGGGCTGGGCCCGTATCTCATTGGACGGGCCCGTTATATGATATGTTTGGTATGCGGTGTGCGCCAGATGTTGATTGAGGAGGCGCACAAATCCAAGTTTTCTATTCATCCCGGGGCGACGAAGATGTACAGAGATCTTCGTCCTGATTACTGGTGGCCCTACATGAAGCGGGATGTAGCCTGATACGTCGAGAGGTGCCTGACCTGCAGGAAGGTCAAGGCGGAGCACCAGCGGCCTCATGGCAAGATGCAGCCATTGGACATCCCCATGTGGAAATGGGAAGATATTACCATGGATTTCATCACCAAGCTTCCCAGGACCGCGCGGGGAGTGGATTCCATATGGGTCATCGTGGATCGGTTGACCAAGAGTGCCCATTTCATACCGATCCAGGAGAGCATTTCGGCCGAGAAGCTGGCCGACATCTATATTCGAGAGGTTGTAGCTCGACACGGAGTGCTAGTCTCCGTGATTTCTGACAGAGATGTACGGTTCACTTCCAGATTCTGGAAAAAATTCCACGACGAGTTGGGTACTCGTCTGCACTTTAGCACCGCTTTTCACTCGCAGACGGATGGTCAGAGCGAGCGGACCATCCAGACTTTGGAGGATATTCTGCGTGCATGCGTTTTAGACTTCGGTGGTAGCTGGGATACCTACCTTCCCTTAGCAGAGTTTTCCTACAATAATAGCTACCCCGCGAGTATCGACCACCCTCCCTTTGAGATGTTATACAGGAGGAAGTGCAGGACCCCGATTTGATGGGGTGAGGTTGGGCAGAGAGTCACGGGGAGTACCGAAGTGGTACTCAAGACTACAGAGAGGATCCAACAGGTCCAGAGCAGGCTTCAGACTGCTCAGAGTAGGCAGAAAAGTTATGCCGACAAGCGTCGTTCGGACCTGGAGTTCCAGTTCGGGGATATGGTCCTCCTGAAGGTGTCACCTTGGAAAGGTGTCATCCGGTTCAGGAAGCGGGGCAAGTTGGGCCTAGGTCCATCAGTCCTTTCAGGGTTGCAGCCCGGGTGGGCAAGGTGGCGTATAGGCTAGACCTGCCAGTCGAACTTAGTCAGATTCACAACACCTTTCACGTCTCCCAGCTACGGAAGTGTGTAGTAGACGACTCAGTGGTGGTACCACTAGAGGACATTCAAGTGGATGACAGCCCGAACTACATTGAGCGATCAGTGGTTATCCTCGACAGGAAGTCGAAGGATCTGAGGAACAAGAGGGTCGAGCTGGTGAAGGTGCAATGGCAGCACCGTAAGGGCTCAGAATGGACTTGGGAGCCGGAGGACGAGATGCGGGAGCACTACCCCGAGCTTTTTCCAGATGCAGCAGCAGACTTCAAGGACGAAGTCTAAAATAAGTAGGAGAGAGTTGTAACACCCGGTTCCTGGTACATATTTTAAATTTAAAAATTGTATGTTTTACACTGGGACTCGGCGAGTTGGAGGCCCAACTCGTCGAGTAGACTAGACTTTGGACGCGGGTTTTAAGTAACCTACTCTGCGAGTCGGGAGCCCGACTCGGCGAGTAGGACTGTCTGGATGAAACCCTAATATTTAGGGTTTGCACCCTATTTAAACGCCTTATCTTGTCCCAACCTAGCCTTCATCGCCTCTTTCAGTCCAAAAAAGCCCGAACTCGAAACCCTAATCATTTATTGAGTGTTCTTGAGCTTTTTGGTGCCATTTGTGTGTATTTGAAGTTTGAGAAGGAGAAGGAAGCTTGAGAGATCAAGAGGAAGCAAGAAGATCAAGAGGTTTTGGCACATTTCCAACTCATTTGAGGTATAAAGCTGAAACCTTGACCATCTATCTCTTAGATCTTTAGTTAGGGTTACCTTTTCTAAGCCTTAAAAGTGCCATATTCGGGATTTTGGGGTTATAAAGGGGTATGACTTCAGATCTGGAACCATTGAGGGTTCCTATGGCATAAAGGTGCCAACTTCATTGCCATAAGAGCCCCATGCACCTTGTAGACTCCATTTTAGGGCCATTTGTGCCAAATACCCCATGCATGAACGTCAAGTTTGTAACTTTACGTGTATTATGGGCCCTAAGAGGCTAGATCTATGTTTTGAATGTGTTAAACCCGACTGAAATCAACTGTATGGACATGGACTTTGGGGGACTCGGCGAGTCGCTCATGGGACTCGACGAGTTGGGGTATGGTTCCCCAACCCTTTTCTGCTTTGATCGAACTGGTTGAGTCTAGAAGAGGACTCAACAAGTTAGATGTGAAACTGGACCTGGAAATCATGGAACTTGGTGAATTCAAGGACAGAACTCGGCGAGTTCAAGGCAAGTCCCAACTGCATGAAGACGAACTCGACGAGTTCATAAGGAACTCGGCGAGTCTAGGGCTAAATGTGCCTTCTTGCATGAAGGAGGACTCGACGAGTTCAAGGATGAACTCGGCGAGTCAGTTGAAGAATGTCCCGACTTGGTATGAAGGAGAACTCGACGAGTACGTGCAAGGCTCGAAGAGTAGGGTCGGGGGTTTTAGTGTTTTAAGGATTTGGGGACTCGGCGAGTTGTTGGGTCAACTCATCGAGTCGAAGTCAACCAGACGTTGACTTTGACCCAAGATTGACTTTGACCAAGGTGTTGACCTTGACTTTAGCTTTGACCTGAGTAACCCTTGTAAGGGTTAAGAGTATGTAATGGAAAAATAAGTAAGGTTGTTATGTGTAGGAATGGAGAGGAGTTGATCCCGACAGCGAGAACAGTTCAGACACTTCACGACACTGAGGTGAGTTACCTTCCAGTAGATGTGGGTCTACGGCCACAATGTCGGCCCACTAGTAGGAGTTGTTTTCTAGATAATTGTCTTTGTGATAATTATCTAGGTTTGCTACTATCTGATATGCTTTATGTGCTAGGATGCTCTGTTATATGTGTTAGTAGTAGTAGGGGTGAAATAGTCCCCGAATATCGATTGAAAGATACTGAAGGGGTAGTCAGTACCCATGCATGCCTAGCA